CTGTTCTAAATTTTGAAATTCCTTCGTTTTCATTGGCCAGATTTTGTGCACGCACAGTACATGTATCTACTGCGCACAATCACAGCTGTCCCAGTCAGTTGTTTTTGTTTACATTCAGGGATGTGCGTCTACACGTAGACTTCCATTGTCTACTTTACGTGTAGATAATGTAGACAATGTAGATAATGTAGACAACGTGTCAACAATGTAAAATAATATAAATGACGTTTAATTCTAACCTCACACTTTCCTTTTTTTAAATAGGGCAATCCAATGACTTGTCAAAATGGAATTCAAAATGGAGGCCAATGCCTTTTTTATACTAATTATTTCTTAAACTAAAAACTTTCCATCTTATAATACGAAAATTATCCTCTCAAACACTAGAAAATCATCTAAAAGCACCACAAGATACACAAAAAAGAGTTTTTTGATGAAAAATGTCACGATTGCTTGAATTAAATTTATGGCGCCAATTTTTTGGCATTGGCCATGCATTGACCACCATTTTGTTTGGATTGCCCTCTGATATTTTATGATCACTGAATGCTAATATCGAAGTGATATTGATATTATAGTAACTTTTGATATTTTTTTTCGAATTTTTTATAATAAAATATTGTTTATGCACGAACGGGCGTAAAAGTGCACTTTTACGCCCGCATTTTAAAGCGTGAAGTAGTACTTTTACGCCCTAGGGCGCCTTTCACGCCCGCGGGCCTGAAACTTTCAAAAATAAGCAAAAATTCGTAATTTTTTTTCAAAAATTTTTGTATTTCTATTGCTAGTCCAAAAAATACCAACTTTGTTCAACAAAACAAGCTTTATTTCAATTAATAAGAATAATGAAATAAGCAATAATAGTAAAATTCAATCTACTTTAAAATTGAAAATACAATATTTACAGTTTTTAACTTTTAAAACCGGCCCTTTTCCACAGAAATACACAAAAGAACTGTTGCCTTCAACATTGAGTAAAAGCTCCATAGGGTAGATGGCATTTTTTTGCATTTTTCATATTATTGTATATGCCAGGCCAGGAGAGTTTCTTCTAAAAAGTACTGCTGCTCATTTATACTATGTTGGGCACATCAGAAAATGAAGAGTCCGTATATGTTTTTTCATAGAGTCTTTTGGACTTTAAAGGTATACAATGACATGTTCCTTGGCCTCTTCAACTACCTCAAGAATAAACTTGGGCATGCTATTTTGCTCCATTTTCAGATGCACTACCATCATAAGAATACTATACACGTACACTACACAGCACCTAATTATTTGTTTGTATTGTTCTGGGTTGCTATGATAGTTACGTGATACTTTTGTCAACAACTGCTTCCTTGATCTAAATTTGACAAAAACTCACGACCTATTATGCGGTAAAGATGAAATTTTATATTTTGAAATATTTTTGACTTTTTGATTGATGTCATTACAAAATTGAAAATATATAATTTTTTGAATAGCAAAATGAAAACATGCTCATCGTGCATAAAATCTTGTATGCACCTCAGTCAAAAAGAGCTTTAACGCCCTCAGCGTGTAAACAGCCCTCGGCTAACGCCTCAGGCTGTTACACACGCTGCGGGCGTTAAAGCTTTACTTTTTGACCTAGGTGCATAAATAACTATTACGCCGCATGTAGACAATGTGTAGACAAATGCTCACGTAAACAATTCGAATTGTCTACGCGTAGACAATCAATTGTTTACGTTGACATTGTCTACAGGCACATCACTGTTTACATTATGACCTCGTAAATTAGCAGCATTGGAAGCGTTCTTTGTTTATCCATTTATTTTTGAGATCAGTGGTTTCACCTTATCAGGTAGTCCAGGTAGGCAATAAAAAAGCACTTTATTTTACTAGTACAATAAAGTGCTACTTTATTGACGCAAAACTGTTCTATTAATAGCACTTTATTGGTCAATCGGACATAAAATTTTTTATTTCACCGAACGCTTTAATTATTATTTATATTGAGACCCCCTGTAAAACCACAAGATAGACAGGCGCCGGCGTCTAGGCGGCGCGCTATTATATGCGAATTTCAAAGTGCCGACAATCACTGCGGCAACTTATATTTTAATTCTGCGTCAAGCTCCCAACATCAAACATGGCTAGACAACTAATTGAACTGGCTGAGTTCAGACATCCCAGTCCCCAGTCTTAATCCCAGTCCCCATAGTCAGTAAACTGGGGACTGGGATTCCCAGAAAGGCAAAGGGCGTCAAGCCGAACAACGCGCCCATCGAAAATATTAAACAGCCACTCGACTCGCTGATTGGACCTCTTAGATCGGACCAAAGATACCAAAGTTTGTTAACACTACACAGAATTGCTCATCTGTCGGTATTATTCGAATCAAGGTCATAATAGTCGATTTCGGAAATGGTGTTGCGATTAAACCGATCACTAACTGATGTAAGTATTCTTTTTCCAATCGCATTCTTTAAAGAAAGATGAAAAACAAAAAGCTGGTGAACGGGTTAATCGGAACAGCGTTTTTGAAAAGCCCTATTGTGAGCGCTGCTTGCGTCATCGCAGCGGTCGTAGATCGGACCTTTGGATCGGAACGACGCGCGGGACCCGCGGCAGCCCGCGGAACCATGACAATAGAGAGTTGCAAAAGGTTGCAATTCCTTCTATACACCGTGATTGACGTAGCCCGTGCATTAGAATTCAATTGGATTGCAGGTGGATTAGTAGAGATAGCATCTAATCCACCTGCAACCTAATGAACGGGCTACGTAAATCACCCTGTATAGGGGTGTCTCGCAACGCGAATAAATTTGGCAGTTACAGTGATTAGTAATAATGGTGATAATAACAATTATATCTCATAGTTGATTCAAAAGTAAATCCGTTGCACGCTCAAATGGTTGCACTTTACAATGCGTCCACCAGCAAATTAGATCTAAACGCATAGTCAGTGCCATTGATGACGTGCAACGGATTTAATTTTGGATCAGCTATAGATTTTAGCTCTGTTTTCAAAGAAATCACAAACTAGTCAGAGCGAATTTCATTGGTTGAAAATAGTCAAGAAACTGATTGTTGGCGATTTGGACCAATCAAAAACATTCTGACTGGTTTGTGATTTCTGTGGAGACAGAGCTAATATCTATATATACATGTCTATATATACTATACTAATTAAATATATAATAGCTTTTGTTGATTTTTTCATTACCTTAACTACGGATATTATACATTTAAAATTTTTCGTATGGGTGCGGACTGCGGAGCACCCATAATGTATTAAGTATGGGTCATGGTCGGCGCACTCATATTACCGCTTTGAGCCAGCTTTTTTAGTTCACTTGTGACCGCTGATGGCTCTGCTGGTCTTATAAAACTGAGGTTATGAAAGTGGAAGTGAATCAAATACCGAAAGTTCTGTGTACCGAATCCTTTATCGGAAATGTCATTGTCATTTGGCCTTGCCATATTTCAAAATTTAAATTTAAATTGTTTTTTCTATTCTGGTGTCATATCGAAGTCTTTTCGACACTGAAAGTAGTTTCGAAAAGAAGCTCTTTGTGACACTCCTTTTTTACTTATCGGAGGTTGGTGACACTGGCTGACTGATGGCCATCGAAATGTCATTCGCAATAAAAAATTATAGAAGATTTCTATATTTGGCATGTAGTGTTGCCAACCTAAACATATGAAATCAGGAAATATGAGAATAAAATTTCCAAGAAAAGTTTTTTTTCTCCGAATGACAGTAAAAGCGGCCTTTTAATGACACTTGACAGGATCAAAAGTTGTATTTTTACTGCCTAGGCATTAAAAGTGACAGTGTCACAACGTTCCAGGTAATAATTTCACTCAATTTGGTATTTGAAATTGATGGTGAGAATGACAATTGTCAAAATAATTTAATTATTTGGATAATAATAATGAATGAAATAAATATAAAAAAGACGTCCATGTGTGAATTTGAACATTCGGAGAAAAAATTATATGTTTTACATGGCAGAAAAGCAGATTTAATGCCTCGGCTGGTTTCCTAGCCTCGGCTATGCCTCGGCTATGAAACACCAGCCACGGCATTAAATCTTGTACTTTTCTGCCTAGTAAAACAAATAACTATTTTTTTATTAAACAATACCAAAATAGAAAAAATAGTATAAAATATTCGTTTTATAAGACATTTTATCGCACTCGCCCTTTAGAAAACTCGCCTCCGGCTCGTTCTCTAATATAGGGCTCGTATATAAAATGACGTCTTATGGAACTTGTATTTTAATGTACTATTTTGATTGTGTTTATTCTTGTGAAAAACTAGGCACTCGACAAACCTCTGCAGTCTGCAAACAGTGGCGACGATGAATAGAGGCTCCGCCGCCATATTTTTGAAATTTCAAATATGAATACATAGGAATTATTGGATATAAATGGATATCTATCATCAAAATTTGGAGATAACGTATTTCTCTGACTAAAATTCAAATATGTTATTTTTAATTTTTTATAATAGGCATGGATATCCGAGAGGATATTCATTTATATCCTATTATTCATATCAAAAATTTGCAAGAATATGGCAGCGGGATCTCCATTGTCGCCATTGTGTCGAGTTACTGAAAAAATTACAGGGAACTATCTTAAGAAAGTGCCATCTTTCGGAGAATGACCGAACTAGTATTTATAGTTCACTCTCAGTCGGCAGAGGGCGCTATAATACGACATGATATGTTAACATTGGAGATTCGAGTCTATTTACCCCCTGTATATTAGTCTATGGTATGGGTGCTTGCGCACCCATGGAGTCCGCGGCTATGTTGTCTTGTCTCCATTTATGAAGCTTCTGAATCGATTGGTCAATTTATATATGAAAGACATTCAAGTAGGTTCCCGTCCCCAAGCATTTATGGACCTGTTAACTATTTATGAACGCAATAATCCTCAGAAAGCAAACGCACATACCTACATTAAATTAATTGCATTTATTTATTATTAAAACTGAACAGAACTCAGAACTCTAACTATGTAGTATGATTAATTGAATAAACGAAACAATCTGAACAAAAACTACATTTTAATAACACAAAAGTATTCTAAAGAAGTCTTTTTTTTCTTATGATTCTAACTAGAATAGATGAATAAGCTTAACCTAAAATCGGAAAAAAACTACAAATAGATAGTACCCATCTATAGAAGCTTCTTCATCTTCTGTTCGTTGCAGTGGGGGCAGTATGGGCACCAAGGAGTTTCATCCCTAACTTGATTGCACTGCAGCATCTCTCCCTTTCCTAAAATCGGTCTGAGGGCTCTACCTTTCTCATCAAAAACTGGCTTGTAATCTTGCGGTAACAGCTTGTATCCGGGTTTGGGGACGTGGGGTTCAAAAATTGGCTTGTGATCCTTCGGTAAGAGCGTGTACCATGTCTGCCAGGTGTCTTTCCTAGGTTTTTCGGAAAATGAGGAAAATCTTGCTCCATCGACAGGTGGGCTTGAAGACATGGGTGCCCCTATCTGCCCCATGACTCTTCCAGAGAACATGGAAAAAGTCTGTTCATCGACGGGGGGCTTCGGGGACGGCTTCAGCGTGGCTTCTGGTGAATTTTTCATATCAGTTTTTGGTGCTTCTGGAGCTCGTTCAGTACTCATTTTGGGTTTTATTTTTAATTTTGTTGCAATAATTATCAGAGTCATGAAACGATTGGTTTCCAATGTCAGTTGTCATTATTGATCGTTGACGCTGTCCGCGGCTGGGCCGTGGACAGAGTCGAACTAGGATTCGATCACTCATCGATACCGAGTATGATTAACTTCTATTTTTACTGTCGTCGATTGTGTGTTTTCTGATTACCTACTATAAATCAATTCTAGAACCGCACACTCTTCCACACTTTTGACATACCCAGTAGCCTCTGGCAGCATTGTCTTTTCCCCTGTTCTCTCGCTCCTTTCTACGATCTCTCTTTTCGGTCTCGTGTCTGTGTCGTTGTTCGTCAAAACTTTGTGGTCCTTCGTGGACTATTTGACGCCATAAAGGCGTATCATTTGCCGTTGTCTCACCCCAGTTGCTGGTTCGATGCGACAGTAGTCTACCATATTCTTCCTTAGAACATCCTTGTAGCGTTTCTGTTGTGTTGCCAATGTGGTAAAGTCAGACTACCCGAGTTTCTAGTTGAAATTACCCGAAATTACCCGATCTTTACCCGCGTTTGCAGTGGTTTTGCCAGGTTCTCGTGGCGGGGAAAGGGGCATATTCAAAAACACCGCTAAGCAAAAAAAAAAAAAAAGTAGTTTAGGGGTTGTATCTAAATTTTTTTTTTTTAAGGGTGTAGGACAGAAAAGGAAAAAGAGACACTATACACTTATGCTTCGTGCCATGCCAATCGATAATGCTAATAGGACGCTCATTTGTACTTGCTCTACCTGCTCGAAAAATCAGGAAGATCTGCTAGGAGCAGCTATTTATGAGCTTATATGGAACGATTGAAAGCTGGGCTGGGATCACGACAAGTTGAATTCTACCATAATTCTACTTTCATGACGTCAGTTGCCTAGCAACCATCATCATCGCTTGTACTGTACGCGATAAATGGGTCGCAGGTGACGTCATGAAAGTAGAATTCTACTCGTCGTGATCCCAGCCCAGATCTGCTGCTGAAATCTGCTTGAAACAAGAAAAGTAATACAAATGAACACCCTATAAAGTTGCAAAGCCGAAACAAGGCAAAGGACATTTTTTTCAATATACGGAGCAGGTGGCAGAAAACTAGGAAACAATGTATATTTTTATTATTATTTTAAAGACTTTTTTTTTAGTTTTTTCAATCATTTTCTACCATACTGCGGACTAGTCTCGATTACCCGAAATTACCCGATTTATAAAATGTTAGAAAATTACCCTGCTTTCAGTCAAATTACCCGCAAATCGGGTAATTACCCGCAAATTGGCAACACTGCTCCAAACAGAGCCGACTTCCGCATAAACAAGATGCAGTTATTCGCTTTCCGGCTCCTTTTAAACTTCTGCTCTGCAATTCTGCAGTAATTTCAATCAACAAACTTTTCTTTTTTTTTTTCTGATACAACCCTGTTGCGTGACTCCGTTCCACAGCTTTTCTCGCCGGGACTATCTCTTTCTCTTTTTGCGTTCTGGATTAGAGAGAGACGTAGAGATGAAAATATACATATATTAAATCAAATCAAAATATTTTATTTGAAACAAATAAGCAAATTCTAGTATTTATGAACAATTAAATTCATATAATTTATATCCTTGTAGTTTCTATAACCTTGTTTTCCAATAAAATACGGAGATGCATTATAAAGTTCTACAAGGAACTTGTTTAAAGCTTGCCAAACGTCCCGTATTGTACGGGACAGTCCCTTATTTTAACGTCCATGTCCCGCGTCCCTAAGTTTGTTGTCGGGACGCGTAAATGTCCCGTTTTCTCCGATATTTTGAAAAGCGTAAAATAATTCGATTTTTGCGTGTCATTCCTAGTCTCTGCGATGGTGGCATAAATAAATCGATTTTTCCGCCTCATCTCTAGTCTCAGCAAAGCGCAACATGCGATCGGTTATGCAAGGTTATGCAAAAGCATTTGACATTCGACAGTTTAAAATTTGGCGGGTTTGGCCCAAGGATAATACAATGGCAAGGTTGTTTGAGAGAGGTAGGTTGCCTGATAACTTTATGACGTCATCTGGGGTACCTAAACATAATGCATATCTACATAAGGCACCCCAGACGCGTCATCAAGTTACCCATTACCTTACCAGACAACCTATCATACAATGGATAATATTTTTTGGTTATTGCCGCCATTTTGATATGTTACTTTAGGCGTTTTCTCGCGTCCATTTTTTTTAAACTGGTTCAAAACTGTTTTGAAAAACTACATTCTCGCGATAAATTCATGACGTCACGTGAAAATTAGTTCAAATCGTTTCGAAATATAATCCAATCCACGTTTTCAAACCATTTTCTCGTGCCGAGAAATTATGACGTCATGGTGACATCACTTAAACCAGTTTTGAAACATTTGAGACGCGAGAAAACGCCTCATGTCCGACGTCTGACGTCATTGACTAAGTCGTCAGCTATTTGCACTAGCGGTCGTAGTTCAGAATTTAAATTTATGAAGAAAATTATTATTAAATTTTGATTACCAAACCTAATAGGCAACCAGGAAGTTGAAAACAAGATCTAAAAAAGAGTTGTTTTTATAGAATTTCAATGGGCTCTTTCACTAAAATTTAAATATAAAATCCTAAAGGAGGGACTATTTTAGGCATATACCGGGTGTTTTGCAAAACCTGTTCACCCCTTTCATTTTTTCAGTTTTCTAAATAAAAATATGAAATTTGGTGTGTTTATTTATGACCCGGATGTGCATTATTTGACGTATTCAATTATTTATTATCACTTCCGATTTGACCGGAAGTGACCATCACTTTCTTTTTTCAAATGAGACAACGAGTACAATGACACATCATTTGTCACTTTTTGACATTTCATCTCCAAATTATTTAAACTTTTACTTTTCAATCTAGAGTGCCATGAATTACTTAAAATGCTTAATTTTGCTACAAGAAACTTGGGAAAATTTGTTTTGATCTTATTTTGTATTTTATATCCTCTACAGACTCATTGAAAAATAATAGGAGTGCATCTCAATTTTTTCAAATGGAAAGGGTGTGGCTCATAACAATATTCCAAAAGAGCGTTTTCTAACGACCAATTCAGTACCACATAATAGCTAGTTCATCACTCAAATGAAGAATTTTCGTAGCATTCTAAATAAATAAATATTTTTGGAAAAATTCAGTTCAATATTTGAATAAACTAGCGATTGTGTGGTACTTAAATTATTGTTTGTTAGAAAATGCTCTCTCGGAATACGCTAATGAGCCATATACCCTTCCCATTTGAACAAATTGATATACTTCGAAAAATGCGCTTCTACTAACTTTAAATGAGTCTGTTGAGGATATAAAATACAAAAAAAGATCAAAACAAATTTTCCCAGGTTCCTTGGAGCAAAATCAAGTATTTTAACTAATTCATGGCACTCTAGATTAAAAAGAAAAAATTTAAACGCTGTATCTAGCCTCCCGGCACCGGTATTCATACGAATCCCGGTTATGGCGCGTCTTAAATGACGTCATCAACAACCACCGGTAACTGTCGTGGATCCCGGCTATTGCTATACAAGATGTTAATAATTATTATGTTCATTAGTATTGGGACAGATTTATTATGAAGAGTAAAAAAAGAAAACAAAGTCGACCGCGATAAGCTTTTATTAATGGAAAATAAAATTATGTATGACTTTTTTTTATATGTAGGTACAGGGTCATTTTGAAAAATTGTTCAGCATTTGATCTTGTACAGCAACGCCGTTTATGTCCAGCAACATTACACAGGGTGCCCCAAAATTAGAGGTTAATATTTTAACTGCGGATTCTACATCTCCAATTAAGAGCAAAAATTCCTATAAACATGGGTCCAAGAGTACCCATTTCAGATATACTGGCTGTTAAAAAGGCTATAGTCCTGAATAATGAATGAAAATAAACCATTTTTTTTAAACCACTACTACGAAAATTGGATTAACGAAGTTCTTATCGAATGTAATACCACAAGAGGTTTCAGGATTACCGGATAATACTTTTACCTGTCACGAAACGCGTTACGCAGCAACACCACGATTCCGAAGGAGGAGTGGTGTTGCTGGTAACGCGTTGAGTGGTATTCAAAAGGTTATACAACTCACTGTACAGGGTGATTCATTAAGAATGGCACTCGGCCATATCTCAAAAACTATTAATCGTAGTTATGTCGGAAAAAAGTTATTCCATAAATATGGCCAAGAGAAAATGCTGGAAATATATTTCATCTTTCTAAAATGACCGTAAGGGGGCGTAACCCAACTGTCAAAGTACAAAAATGGTTTTATTTTTTAAATTTCAAATGGAAACATATCCCAAAAATGCTAGCAATAGATTTTTGATGAAATTTCACACAATTTTGATTTATGACTTTTTACCATAACTTATCGGATAAGATAGTTATGAGCTGTCAAATATTGCAACTTAAGAACACGAATAACTTCAAAACGACTCAACGAATTGGGTCGATCTTAGGTTCGTTGGAAAGACAAGAGTCTGTTCTTTATTTTTTTTTGTAAAAAAATCCAACTTCAGTTAGTTGGACTGACTCTATGGGTGGATATTTGAAAACAATTGCATTTTTCTAATTTTTCTTGAAATTTTCAAATGGAACGGTATATTTAAGATATGTTCAATCGATTTTTGAGTATGTTTTACACAGTTTTTCTTTATTATACCTTCCTACAAACGAACTCCAGAGAGTGTTAAATTTAATTTTATCAAAAATAATCAATATTTATGAAAAAGCTCTCGTAAATAATGACTTCGCTTTTCTGACAGTTGATTGTCATCATTGATGAATGTCAAACCTAATGGAAAAAGTGCGTTAGGAAATTATTATAGTAACTATATTATGCAATGATCATGTAATGATAGCCATTATAACACGAGCATGTTGTAGAATACGAAACTTGAAGAAGAAATACATATTTATTTTGAGAATAGTAAACTATGTGGCGTCATTGTTCCGCGAGTCCGTTGTGTTCAACCCTGGATGGCTCAACTATTGTGTACACTTCTGGAGAATGCCGATATCATCGAAAAT